TGTCTACAACAACACTGCTAATATTGCACATATGTCCTAGCTTAATATGCTATTGCTTTCAGTTTGATCCCTTCAACTCTCAGAAAAGCAATGCTTAGGCGCTAGCTAGCTTATCTTGCTAATGTCGGCATTGATTCAATTCTACTTTTTGTACTTTTTCAAACACCTGCTGAGTCAGCAGCTTCATCATACCAAGTGTGATGTTTGTCTCCCATTATAGAGGAACAGTCATACATGTAGCGTGATCTCTTTTCTTTTTCATGGGTGGACAATGACCAGACTATGACGAGTTAAGACGGGGCTATTGATGAACACAACTTTTTTTTTTTTTTTTAAATCCTTTTCAGCAAGGATCTATCTGCTCATTTAGCATAAAGGAAAACTGATTTCAACTCGGCTTTTACCATTCACTAACATTAAGGAGCATCCTATATGTTCTGCCCAGCATCTTGTGGTTTACAGTCAACACGACTTTCTGCATCTGCCAAATGCGTTCACATTTGTCTGTAAGCTTTTCAATGTAAGTAAGCCTTGTTCATGCTGAGGCGGCTCACAGCCTCAGCTTATCGTCCCATGCAGAGGCATGAAGCAGCTTACAGCAGGTGTACAACACAAGACTGTGAATAGGGCAGCAGTCTATCACACAGGCTTACTCCAAATACATTTTGCTTTAATGCTAAGTGGCATGCAGCTCAGGATTGCCTCCTATTTTCTGGAAATATTTGTTACAGTGAAGCATGCAACTGAGCATCTTAGTGCCGACTACGGCTGATGGAGATGATACTTTCTATGGGGTTGTGTTGCCGTGAGTTGTGAGGCAGTAAATGCTCAGTTATCCTGAGACAAATGATAGAGTATACGGCCTCAGACACATTTTCTATCTCTTCTATTTCACACTTTATGGAGCTGTGTATTCGAAATGTATTACAGATTTGGGGAATGAAAAGAAAATGTGTCTGTAATGGTATGATCACATACTGTAAATACAAACAGGAAAGTATGTCTGAAATCAGAACTGGGAGAATGTAGTCAGTGTACAAAGATATATGAACTAAAATGTAAATGTGTATATCTGGGTATGTTGTGATGTCTTTCTCCAGAACAATCTTTCAGGTACCTAACAGCATTTATCTCCATGCAGATTATTTTTTGGATTTACACGATGCTGACTCTTCTTGAGAGGCAAGAAAAGATACCTTAATCCACGCCTTTGATTACCATCTCCTCCTTCCTATTTCCTTCTCTCTACTCTCCTGCAAGTTTTTGTTGCTGATGATGACGTCAGTTATTCTTAACTCAAAAGTATGTTATCCTACAGATGCTCTGGGTGTATTAGAGACTTATGTAACATGATAACTCAAAAGAAAGGCACTGATACAAAGTGGGAACAAATCCTAAATAATAACGGCAAAAATATTCAACTTGGGGTGCCGGTAGCATAGTGGTTAGTGTGCACGCGCAATGTACGGAACCTGTGGTCCGGGTTCGGATCCGACCTGTGGCTTCTTCCCTGCATGTCATTCCCCACTCTCTCTCTCCATGATTTCCATCTCTCTTTGCTGCCCTATCTCTCCAATAAAGTCCCAAAAAAGCCCAAAAATACATATCAAAAATATGTATGTTTTTATTCAACTGAACTGAATTATTTGAAGGAGGTTTATTTTGATATTTTTTCATTGGTTTTGAAAGACATGCTAAATTTGTTCCTAGCATAGAAAACACATGGAACACTTTCAATGTGGGGAGACTCTGGTATGCAAATTCAGTGACCATTAAAAAATAAAAACGATCATTTTGAAGGAGAAATCACACAAAAGCAAAATATAACCACAGAAAGATGTAAGAATTAACCTTTTATCCACAGCAAGGTGAAAAGATGTGTTACAAACAAGTTTAAGTCATAAAAGAGGATCCCACAGTCACTACTCAGACAAATCTTTCATTGTAATAAAATCCAAGAACCCCACCCAGGGAGACCCCACTGCCTCATGATGTCACTTAATCTAATGTATTGTTGATTCTAAAAACAGATTTAAAGCTGAATAAAATTCTTAATCCGCTCCATTCAAACAGAATGTATAGAAAAGGTAATTAGAAATTGTAATCGGCTTCCATTGTGACCCCACCTGCACACCAGTGTCAAAAATCCGACTAGCAAACACACGCTAACTCCCCCCAGACATGACTAATTGACTTGCCACCATGGGTGACTGACATGCCATCCAGAGGGCACCATAATGGCCGTGTCATGTGGGAATGATGAGACCTGCCGACAGCTAGCAACTCTCGACCTTTTGCATGTGAGGTCGGGTGTCGGAGGGGGAAACAGAAGCACCCTGATGTCGGACCCTCAGCCTCGGGGCTCTGCAGGGGGGGGGATGAGCCACATATGACTGGGGAACTGGAGATTTTCAATCAGGCATCCTTGCAGGGGAGTGATTTCATACGGAATGGTGTCGCAATGAAAAATAAAAACAATAAAACAGGAATCAATCGTCAGCAGCCTCGGGGCGTTTGAACATCTTGAGGGTGGAGGAGAGTGATGGGAACTTCCTCTATCATTTTCACCTATCACAGGGTTATTATTGTGTGTGTTTTTTTCAGCTGTTATTGCAGGAATGTTTCCTGTACTATTTCAGATTTTTGAGCCAGGTTTCATGCATCTTTAAATTTAATTCTTACTGCTGTAACTTCTGAAAAATCTCCCTCACATTAATAAAGTTAAATCTTGTCTCATCATAATGAGTCTTGTTCAAACGCAGTCATTATTCAACAGCACACTTCTGGAAGATTTATGAAAGAAAAGTCTGTGTGCCTTTCAAAACAAATCTTTATTCACACATTAGTTAGTGTTGTTGGTTTTTTTTTCCTCACTGGGTATTAATGTCTTATTCAGTTTCTGCAGCCTGTCTCACTTCCAAATATCACTAATCCTGTTAGATGAAATCTATTAATGTTCTGCTTTTGGATGCCACACACTGAATTCCAAGTCTGCCTCATAAGCTCCAAATTTGCCATGAAGGCAGATCTGGTCCGCCTGTCTGGATTAGAGAGATTTACCCAGGCAGCCACAGACGTGTGACCAGCAGTTCACATTGGGTAAAGTCACCCATTCCACAAACAAAAGCAAGAGTAATCTGCACATAAAGTGATTTTCATTTTGGGCTTTTGTTCTCCATTAATGTGCCTCTAATTTCTCATTCATGGCTGTGTTGTATCTGATCGCAGTTATTGGACTTATTGCCATCTTGATCCAGTGCGATATGTCATATTCAGGATGTTGCCATGACAAAGAAAAGAAAATATACTGGCGTGTGGCACAGATGTACAGTGACAAGGAAAGATAAAACTGACTTAAACAAGTATTGTTTAAAGATGTATCGTGTTTTCAATGTAATAAAAGGAAAAAAAACACAAAAGAATGATTGATAGGTGGATGGAATTATGGTAATAAACCAGAAAGAGAGATGTATCCTTTAATAAAACCACTTGACAACATGGAAGACCATGCATTTGTAAATCTTACAATACAATTAATGGTTTGACAAAAAAAAAAGGAAAAGTGAAAACCCAATAAAATAATTTAAAAAGCAAAACCAGGGTAGAAGGGTTGGCTGGGTGGGGTGGGGGGTCTAATTTAAAGCGAAGGAAAATCATTGATTGGAAAATCCACCTGACACTATCTCTTCCATCACATCGGAAGAAGAGAGCAAAAAGATTAAAAGAAAAAAAGCTCCTCAGTTCTGAATCAATCTGGAAAGTACCAGGGAGGCAACCGCTGCCAAGTTTGGTGAGACTCACAAACAAGGAGTGACTGAGAAGAAAGGACAAAAACATGAGGTAATGCAATGACAGCAGCATGGAGGAACCTCCACCTGCTCACAGAAATCCACACTGTCTTCTTGTAAATCTCAAAAGAAGCGCAGAGCGTTGGATTAGTGACAGCAGCAATCACTGAGAGGAGGATCGTCACAGCGGGTGACAGCGACAAATACACAGCACCCTCTTCATCTGACAACATATTAAAAGACACAACAGGAGGCACAGTAAACGTTAACAGTCATACATGCAGCATATATGACAACGCTTTGCTGAGTGTGAAAAAAATACACAAAAGCTGCAACAATACAGCAAAGTGGAAACTGGTTTTCCTATCATGCTGTGACATAAACCAGAATAGAACATCAATTTACAACAACTGAGAGCTGAAATGTTTCTTTAGACTGTAAGTCAAAGAGGGATTCAGCGTATTGCTGGACATTCACAGAGGAGACTCTGGCTTTTTGAATTCCTTCTGTGTGCATTTAAACTGTATTGATTCATCGTCCCTCACTGTCCAGTGCAATCCCTGCTGAGATCCTGCTTTCAGTGCGGCAAGATATTGCTAGCTGAGTAACTCAACACCCCCACCCCCACAAACCATGATCATTCATTCCATGGATATCTATAGAATACTTAAATCATATTTTCATTTACATACTAAGACAGTGAATATTCGCATGTGTCTCTCTCCAGTTTGTCCACTTCGGAAACTTTCAGCACCACAGACAGGCGGACAGCTCCTCCACAGCAGCTGTCAGTCAGTCTGTCAACAGGCTGCTGTGACAGGTAACACACACACACCTGTCAAATCACAACACAACACGACACAGTATGTGGACAAGGCGCGTGGTTTGCACGCTGTCATGCCATTCAGACACTTTATATCAGATCAGATGTAAGATTTGCTGTCAAAAGAATGCGCTGCCCTATGAGGACAGAAGTCTGTCTGCTCTGAATTTGCGCAAAGGCACCGTCCTTTACGCATAACCGTAGCGGCTAAATCTGTATCTATAGTATGAAGACCTGCAGCCGAGCCTGTATGAATGATGCAGACAACCCTGCAAAGCTTTCCTCCACATCGGCAGAAAGAGCAACGCGCTTCATTTTCAACCAAACTGCTGCTGTAGCACATGCACCATTCTTGACACACAAAGCCGGTGAAGTGAAATCCAACTCACCTTCTCCAAAATGCTGCTGCTGCTGCTGCACGTGTTTGTCCCTTAAAAGCAGAAGTGATCCATACCGGCGAGTCCGTAAAACTTTTATTCGCTGCGCGCGCTGTAGGGAGGGAAGCCAAGGAATTGTACAGCTTACAACTAGTGCTGGAGCGAGTTGAGAGGACGCCGGTTATCCCCCTTTTTCTTTTATTTGTTATTTTTTTTCAATTAGAAATAAGACATTGGAAACAGGAACCAAAGCAGTGTCCTTTGATAAAGCGTATCCTTCAGGGTAGAAAAAGAATATCCTGTGCGGTTATGTACGGTGAAGATCGCGCAGCCGTGGAGAGCCAGCGCATACAGATCTGTCCATGCTTCTCCTGCAGCGAACAGCCGCGTCAGCCTCCCCGGGTCCTAAAGCTGCGCTTAACTAATGACACCAGCATCAGCATCGTGTCTGAGAGACAAGGAGCCTCTTCACAGTATTTGTTTCCAATTCGAAGCACTGAAGAATGTTACCAAATCTCCTACTTGTATTCAAAACCTTTTATAAGAAACGTAACATCTCGACAAATTATCTTTCAATTCTTATAAGTAATTTGTAAGGATTCCTTGTATGAAACACTGAAATGAATCTATTCTGACTGTCTCTCTACCATGTCTGATAAGAAATAAAGCTTTGGACTTGTATACAGTATCAACCTTTGATTTTGCAGTGAATTTATTCAGAGCAGTGAACTTCTACATCCCACTGCTGGATCAATACCTGATTTATCACTAAATGTAGGAAAACATCACGCTAAGCTCTGGAGACGCTGCCCACTTGAATAATCGCCTTCTCACGGACACGTTTCGGTGGATACAGCTTAGATGTTGTGCATCTCTCAACTCACCCACCCAGGAGAGATAAGAAGTTAACGTGCACGCCAAAGGCCGCGACAAAGCGTCTGTGTACGACTTCTAGGGAACAGTAGATGAATTTGTCACTTGAAAGCCAATTATCAACCTCATCTTCCTGAAGTACCAAAAGAGTGTGTGCAACTTTAAACAAGTACTTTAAGTGCTTTAGACCTACTTGTTGTGTCAACTGTAGAATTCCATTTGAAAGACAATCGCACTGTGAAGGCAGCTGCACATCTATTTACTGGTGTTTTTAATGGACACAATTTAAAGGAGAGTGCAAATGTTGGTGTGGCCAATAATGGTTGTCTCATCAGTTGCATTACTCACCCTGTGCATTTAAAACAGCTATGGAAAAGGTGAGAACGGGTGAAATATATGTGCTGGGCTGTAGAGTGGCGTCTTTATACTTTATAATGCATTACAAAATGTATTAAACAGGTGCACTTATCCATATGCCATAGAGGTATTAGTCAAATTAGAGCTCACAGATATATGTGATAAGTGGTTGGTGATCCAAAAAGTTCATTTCAAAGCTGTAATTTAACTGTTGACTAATGATTTATAAAACGCAAACACTGTAGAAGCTTGGCCTAAGCATTAATGCAGTTCGACTAACTCCAGTCCTGCTTCTTATCTGTCAGTATTCTGCCACTGATGATTAAAGAGGACGTTTCTTTTTTCTAAAATGTTCACAGGACAAAAGATTCTATTTGGCTTCAAAATTGAATTTCTGTATTGATGCATTTATGTATTCCATCATCCTCTTGAATCAGTCCATCACTTCATGCATTATGCTCCCCAATTCTAATGCACCCTGTTTGGCTATTCAGTGCCAAGCCTTTTTGCACTCCAGTATTTCTTATGTGCGTCTTTTTTTCACAATCTCATGTATTTCTATAAGGGTAAATGTAGCCTCTCCCCCTGTCAATCATTGCTGAGGCTGTCTTTTGGAAAATGGGCTGAGCCGACGTTCAAGCTGTTCTTCTTCTCTTCCTGCATCTTAACAGGCCTGTCTGCTGTGGGCAGGGAGGGAGAGAGGTCACGTCCAGAGGGAATGAAGAACGCCAATCAGTCCTAATTCTAACCACGAACTCATAATCCCACACACAGACCTTTAGTCACCTCATCATCTGCAGGTTGCATATGCTGTGTGTTCAGCGGCAGTGCCAACAGTGAGGGTGTTTCATGTCTGAATTGATTTAAATGCATCAATAGATAAGAAGTGCTGTCTGTTCAGTTGTTTAATAACAATTAGGCTTCATTATATTTTAGGGTAATTAGTTTCAAGGTCTTCGTATGGAGGTTAACATGACGAATGGCTGGGAGTATTGACTTGGACAACTGCATACCGCTGAAGTAAAGTGGTGTGTATAGCCAATATCACACCAATGAGCTGCACAGGAGTAAACAACGGCAATAAGAACACTGCTGTTGGCTCACCACATTAAACAACACTGAATTTACAACAACCACAAAACACTATAACAACCAAATGTTGTTTTTCTGCTTAGTCACTTAGTGTTTTATTTGTATTACTTTGTAATAAAACTAAACCCTACATGTACTCCAGCTCCATTCATCTCAATAAACCATGATGGTCTCTAAAACTGAGCTGAACATGCTGAAGTTCTGGTTATAATGTCTGGATTCTTTAGATCTGTTTCTTTAATTCTGAGTACTCACTAAAACATGGATCAGAGAACATAGATAAGGGTAATATTTGTGATACTTTGGAGAGTAGAGGAAACATATGATGCTACAGATATACGAATAAGACGCAGTCAAAAACTCAAAGATATGAAACCAATATCTCCCCAATTGTCTGTATGTTGGACATAGAGGGGTAACGTCTGATATGTCCTTAAATCTTTACAGATCTAACTCAGCAAACAATAATGCACCAATTTAACCATTCATCCACACCTGAACACAAACCTGTATTTGACATTTTTGGCCACTTTGAGGATGTTGAGTAAGCCGGGAACTCTTTCTTACACAGCTTTTAACTGAAGTGGTATTTCTAGCCACCTATATGAAATCCAATTTTCACTCTCCTCTTAGCTTTGTTTCTGGTCTCAAATAACTTCAGACAGAAATTACTACCAAAGTGTTAATGGAAAGCTCTATTGAATTTAAACATCAGTTGTCATTAACAGTGAGCTTATCAAAGCTTTAAACTAAAGAGAAGCCTGCTGTGACTGGAAATGTGATGGATGATAAAGTCAGTAAACATTACCTCCAAATGTAATTGAGTTTATGTTCTTGTGCACTAGTTTCAAGTCTTCATGTTTATTTTAGGTTAAAATTAAGTGACAATGAGGTGTATGCTTTGAGGTGTGGTTACTAGCACTGGTCATGTCAGTCAGGATAAAGGCGTAGTAATGGATATCTAATCTGTCGTCCAATGTGTTAGTATCTTGCTGCAAAAAAAAACACAAGATGGCGAGGTCCACGACGGTCAAGACTTCTAAGAAATTTAGAAAAAACCTATGGCTTGCGCCTCCATGGCATCATAAACCTAACCAGAGCATGGTTTATTTTTATATTGAAAAATACATATTAGTACATCCATTACATTAAGGTAAATCTGTTATATAGTAGGTATAGTGGTGGTTCAACGCACCATCCACATTGACTCATATCTTTTGAGATTGCCTTTAAAGCCATTGAGGCATCAATCTCAGATCCGTTCAAAGTCAATTATTTTGTCTGTGACATGCAGCTGTAGGTCCTGTGTGTCAGAATATGATGTGGAGAGGCAGCTAAAGTTCAAATCCATTTACATTCACTCCATGTGCAAGAAGGGAGAAGAAAAGTGAGGAGTCAGCTGCAGCAGCTTCGCTTGATATGCAGGATAAGCGCCTGCATCTGCAACTTGTTAATCATATAAAACCAAGAAAGCAATGACACACAGTGAGGTCAAGCATCAATCCTGGATGAGTGAATAAATCTCCATGACCTTTTAGTCATCTTTTGTTGGCGCATACAGGTGAGGCTGCAGAGAGAAGCTACCGTATATGTCATTCAAGTTTTTCTAAGACCAGATGGCAGATTAAATAAATGACCAGGATTGTGAGATCTGTTCATGAAATCGGATAAAGCTGCTATAGTTAGTGTGATGATAACTCGTGCTATCCACTGTCACATGCATTGAGCTGGTGGTGTAGCAGCTGGAAGGTGGGAGAGTGCGAGATTTTACTTTTCACTGATTCTAACAGGACTTTTAGCTGAGATATGATCCGAGCATCTATTCCTTCATGTTCTTTGAAGACGATGCCCCATCAGCCAAAACTGCCTCCAGCATACTGAGCTCTAATTTTCACAGGTACTTGATGAAATGATGAATGGAGAATTTTATGCTTTTCAGCTCTGCTACCTTTCAGCAATACATTAAAGACATGAGTGTGTGTGTGTGTGTGTGTGTGTGTGTGTGTGTGTGTGTGTGTGTGTGTGTGTGTGTGTGTGTGTGTGTGTGTGTGCACAGCATTACCAGAGAACAGATGGAGAGAAAAGAGGAGCAGTTGCAGATGGGCATTGGGTGACTTGAACATTAACTTGTCGACAGACCGACACAGGTCAGCTTTCCAGGAAGAATGCCACATGTTCGGCTTAACCAGCCAGAAATATCACGCTGCTATTTCAGTGGAAAAACAGCTCTTCAATTTAGGCACACATGTACTGAAAAAGAGCACTGCACAGATGTTCTTAATCCTAATAGTGACACAGCTCTAAATAACAGTACTTCAATATCTGCTTTTATAACATGCATACTCACAGAAGAATGAAATATCTCTATCCCATGCAAGCTGCAGTACAGTTACAGTACATGGGAACACAGAGAGTCTCAATAGCTGCTGGCTAAACTGTGGTAAGTGAGGGGAGTCTGACAGGTTCAACTTTGGGATACGTAGGGGGACTCTAAGTAAGTGAAATGTAACATCTCTGAGGAATAAAAAAAACCAAAGCTGGTGCAGTCAGTTGAGAACTACCAATTAGATGTAGTTGGGCTCACTTTTGTTCAGGCTCGGCTCACAGTGGGGGTCAGCTCTCCTTGTTAAAAACATGTCCAAGGTGTGATGGTTTGGGCAAACTTGGCAAAACTTTTAGTTGTCTCTGGTTGTACAGAAAACTGTGTGGTAGGATACATATGGAAGTTTAGACCACCAAAGAAATGAAAGGCTAACTCAAGACAGGATATTTTCACAATGTTTTACCCAGGATGATGATACTATCACACTATGGACCAATGTACAGAATATATTGTCAAAGATAAAATGTATACAACAAAAATTTAATTTCATCAAGTGACTGAGATCTTTTGAGGTGAGTAGACACATTTTTGTTTTTTTATTTCTGTGATTT